TCAGGAGCGCTCCCAAGCCAGCCGCCCCTTGGTCTGAGCAGAGCTGTTGACCCCGACCTAATGAGACTACAACGTGGGTGTCCAGGGCCAACTCTCCCGCGGGTTGCTTCCCTTGGAACCAAATCAATATTCATTAACGATCTGCCCCCCAGCCCCGGGAGCCTCTGGCTTCACAGAAGGCCTCTGTATCACCACGCTGCCCAAGTCATTCATTAACCACTGAGCCCAGCAGCCCGCGAGGCCACGGAGGGGCTCACGGAGGCCAGCCCACCACCGAGGTATTTGCAAAGGTCATTAATGAACTAATCTGATTTAACTTTTCAAAACAGAGGCCCGGGTCACTGGGTTCCCAGCATTGTGAGTGAGACTGGGTGGGGAGAGAGGCCTGTGACCCTCACTGAAGAAGAGAAAATGCGAAGGTGTGTGGTGTGAGGAGCTGAGGGCTCAGACACTAAACGGTCACTACGCCTAAATCCAGGGAGGCCTGGCATGAAAGGTGGGGAGACCCAGGGCTGTGCTAGGGATTATCCTCAGGAGCCTTTAGATTCCTGGTTGAGTTTGCTCCCTCCTTTCCCTCTGCTGGTGGGAGAGCAGGAATCTCAAACCCAGGACACCCCACGCCCTACCTTATTCTGAGCCAGCCCAGCAGAGCAGGGACATGCCAAAGCGGCAGAGTTCAAAGTCCAGCGTGGCGAGCCTCGCGAACTTGAGCCAGTCCTTTCATCTCTTTGAGCCTCAGTTGGCTTATCAGTAAAGCAGAAACAGTAATAATACTGCCTAGGTTTTCTTTGAGAATTAAAGCAGACAGTGGAAGTAAAAAGTGCTTCGTACAGGATCGGCTACACTGTAAGCTCTCCAAAAATTATAACTTAAAAAAATGTAGCTGTCATTTTTTTTTTTTGTGGCTGGGAAACGTGGACAACCCCAGTTGTAGAGGAGGGGGAGACAGGTGTGAACTCCGGTCCTGCCACCAGTGGCCTGTGTGACCTTACTTACCTAGATAGGTGTCTGTGTGTGTGCATGTGTGTGGTTCAAGTGTAATAATGACACAGATGGACCTACTGCGTGTTGGTTGCTTCTCGCCCCAGCCCAGGAGGCCAGTGAGGGACTGGCTGCCTCACGCATTTCACAGATGAGAAGCCAGAGGCTCAGGTCTCAAGTACGTGCTCAGAGTCGTACAATTTTTGGGTGGGAGGGGGAAAACGTGAACACAGACCTGCTGGCTTCCGGTGCAGCGTGTGCACACCCGTCAGGCAGTACACAGCACAGGCACGCAGAAAGGCTTGGCCCGGGTCCTGCCCGGGGTCCTCTGCAGTCTTCCCCCTTGAGCGCTCGGTGGCCGCACACTGCTTGCTTTCCGGCCCTGCCCCCGTCGGTCGGTCTCTTCCGCAGAAAGGGAGGCGTGCCAGGCCCTCCATACGGTATTCCCAACACCCAGAACCTTCCTCTCCTGGGTCTCATTTCCTTACGCCTTGTCTCTGCTCCCCAAGGTAACAGCTGGTGGACCCTTCCTAATCGCTAGGCCTGGCTTGGGTCCTCTTTCTACCCAGATGAGACACCGGCTATACTCTCCGCTCTGCCAACCCTCGAATCCCGTGCGTCTTCGCAAACTTCTCAAGTTCACCAACTTTTCTTTTTCCCACCCAGAGTCTGAGCTAAATCATGTTACCCAACTAATGGTTTCCTTTTGCAGGACAAAAACCAAACCAAACCAAACCAAAATAAAACAAACAAACGAACGAACGAACCCAGAGCTGAAAAATATGCTGGTTTTGCTGCTCTCTGGCGTTCAGATGAGAAACAGCCAGCACGTACATCAAGCTGAAAATATGCTGGTTCTGCTGCCCTCTGGCGTTCAGTTGGGGAACAGCCAGCACTCCCAACTTCCATGTGTGGAGTGAGAACCCTGTTTCTTTGGTGAGAGGAGAACGGAAAATGGTCGAGGCAATGACATTTGGGAACCGAACAAATGTGGTGACTATACTTTCAGAAGCGAGCGAGGCTGACACACTGACTGAACTGGAACTATATTTTCATGTGTCTTGGCCAGGCTCAGACCTTCACAGGCATTCCGCAGGTCTCAGAATATGAAAGCCCAGAGGGATTGCATCCAACACTCCACATTTTATGGAGAGGTAAACTGAGGCCCAAGACTGGAAAGCCTGTTAATCTTGCTGGACTCGAGAAGAAAGGAAAGCGTGGGTGGAAGTTCGGGTGACGAAGTGGGAAGCCAGGTTCCATGCTAGGTGAGCGGTGTGTGGGGCGTGGAGTCATCTGGCAGCTGGCCCCCAGGAGGCTGAGAAGAGACATATATGCTCTCTGCCACTCAGTCCATATGTCAAGTGGCGATAATAATGTCACCTGTAGCATGGGGCTGCTATGTGGACTGGCTGACGCAGTGCACGGAATGGTTCAGGACAGTACCCGGCATGCAGCACGTGGTATACAAGTAATAGCCTGAACTACCACCACCACGTCTGTTCCTGTTACTGGTATCAAAGGGAGCCGGTCCGGAGAAGTGGGCTGGGTTCCAGGGGCAGGGAAACCTCCAAGGGGGAAGCCGCAAAGACAGCCAAGCCGTCCGGCCCCAGGGCCAGCCCCACAGACCCACGTGCTCTGCACTATCCCGAAAGTGGTGGGACCGCTTCTCAGTCAAGACCTGAGATCAGAGTCGGCCAGGCCTGAGTTAGAGCCCTGACTCTGCTGTTCTCTAGCAGTGTGTGCACGGGTTTGCCACTCAACCTCTCGGTGCCTTAGTTTCTTCATTTGTAATGTGGGGAGACCAACAATACCCACCTCATAGGTGGAATACTTAGAATAGCACTCAGCATTGGTTTTTATTACTCACATAGACAGTAGAGAGCTTAACACCTCAGAGCTATGCAAACAAGGCTCTAAATGAACTTTTATTTTTTATTATTTAAAAATGAAACTTTATTAGTGCTGTTGATATAACCATCTTGTTTTGGTGGCTGGTTCTTGCCTGGCTCCCATGTCGAGATCATAGATGACATTTCCCATGTATGGCCACTAGATGGCACACATGTTCTTTCCTGCCCCACCTGAGCCTTTGGGCCAGAATCAGAAATAACCAGCCAGTGACAGAAAGATACCTTTTATGGGCCAGACACTGGGCTGTGCCCTTTGTCTAAATTCTCATTTACTCCTCACAGCAATTCACATATTAAAAGAGGCATTCCACCTAAAATGCTAAGCACCATGCCAGGCACATGGTAAGGCCTCCAAAGATGTTTGCTCTTCTTCCTATTGTTGTTGCTATTATTCCCGCTTTTCCTGTGAGCACTGAGCACAGGGAGGATAAGGATCCTGGATTTGAAGCCACACCTGGTTGACTGCAAGTTCAGCATCTTTCCCCCTAAATCTTTTTTTCAGGGGAATTCGGGGTGCCGGGGCTTGCTTCACATGCCCCCCCATGCCTACTTTTGCTCTCTGATATTTTCTGGGTCTACCACTTTCTTATTTCCTGTGTGATCTTAAAAGTTATTTAGGCTTTCACAACCTCAGTTTCTCATCTGTATAATCAGAGTCATGATACTTTACTTATTGGGGGGATACTTCAGAAATGGCAACTAAACCAGAGCTGACGCTGTGCATGATGGTTAGTTATTAATGCCTTACATGTTAACAGGACCAGACTTCCTCCCTCCCTTCTTCCCTCCCCCCTCCCTCCCTCCCTCCCTTCCTTCCTTCCTTCCTTTTTTTTTTCTTTTCTCCTTCCCTCCTTTCCTCCTTCTAGGCACCTGGAACTACAGTGCACTCATGGCCCCTGCCCTCGGGGACCTTACAGTCCAAAATGTTCTAGTCTCTGTTCATTGCTGGGACAGTTTTACACCCAGGGTGTCTTCTTTCCTGTAAACTACAGGCATTTGGGGGCCACCACCTGCTCTCCCCACCAGGGGCCCTCTCTATGCGGGGCCCACTAGCTGTAGGCCACACACCTCAGACCCCATCTCATCTTCGGCTGTGCTGCTTCAAAAGCACGCAAGTCCACGGATTCCTTGGGTTCTGCCGGGCACTTGCTACCTGACTCCACTCGCTTCACCAGTGGCTTTCGGGTTGGCTTTGGCATCACGAGATTCTGCCAGGATGCCTGGGGGCCTTTGTGGGGAGACACGTGAAGGGAAGAGAAGGTCACGTGGGCTCATCCTTGCTGACAATAAAACAGCTCTGGGTTTTATCTGATTTCTATTCTGGGGTTACATGTAATATTTTGCTGCTGAAAAAAAAAACATCAAAAATGACTCCATTCTCCCAAGACAGGTGGAAGGGAGATGAACTTTTGGATAATTCAGAGAAAATCTCCAGGAAAGAAAATACATTTGTGAATGTGTTTTAAAATTGCTTTCCAAGGTGCTGAGAGAAATAAGCCAGAAGCAGACAAATACTGCATGGTATCACTTATGTATGGACCCGAAAACAGATTAAACTCACAGAGATGGAAAGTAGCTAAGTAGTTGCCAGGGGCTGGGGGAGGGGGAAGCATGGAGAAGGTGGAAGGTCACAGCCTTTCAGTTACACGGCGAGTAGGGTTTGAGGATGTAACCTGCAACGTGGTGATTATAGTTAGTAACAACTGCGTTGTGTAATTGAGATGAGCTCAGAGAGTAGGACTTACATGTTCTTATCCCTCCCCACTCCGAAAAGAGAAATGTGTGCGAGAGGAGGGTGTGTGAATTAGCACGTGGCGGGGAATCCTTTCACGATGTTTGTGGACACCGAATCACAGTCACGGACACTTTAAATATCTTACAACTTTGCCGGTTACACTTCAACAAAGCTGAACTAAAAAAAATAAAATTAGTTTTCCAGGAAAACAAGATTTCCTGTTTGAATCGGCAATTCGGTGACTATCAGGTGCCTTAACTTTCACCACCGTGGACTAGTTGGGGCTGATGACGCGCCTGGGCCCTTGGCGGCGTCTTGGGCCGGCGGTGCCCTGCGGGCCTGCCGCTCAGGACTTTGTCCTCTCCGTGTTGCAGTGCCCTGGTTCCCGAGAACCATCCAGGACCTGGACCGATTTGCCAACCAGATTCTCAGCTACGGGGCGGAACTGGACGCAGACCACCCGGTGAGTGTGGGGCCCTGCCCGCGCGATTCTTTCGGTCCTCCCCTCCCCCACCTACCCCCATCACCCCCTTCGGAGCAGCACCTTGGTCTGTTTGCTCGAGCGGCTGTCTCTGCCGACGGCCTACTTAACCATGCGGTGACGTCATCATTGTATGGTGACGTCATTGTGGTTGGAGCGACGGTGGGTCACCCTCCGGAAACTACAGTCTCTGTACAATACAGGTGTGTGGGTGTGCACCGCCCCCAGCGCACACGTATGTAAGTCCTCGTTGTCCCTCTGACTTCCTCCAGTTCCAGAGGCTAAAGTCACGGCCTGGGAGACAGTGGGGAGTGGTGACCCGGGGACAGGATCTCGGAAACTGAGTGGAAGGTGCTGGTCAGATAGGGAGAAGGAGATGCTCCAGCCTGAGGAAACAGCGTGTGCAAGGCTCGGGGTCCCGAAAGCACCCGGGAGACTCGGGGTGGCTGGGTGGTGTGCTGGGTGCGAGGATCAGAAGCGAGTCGGTCTGTGGCGCCCGACGCAGAACTCGGACTGTGTCGTGTGTCCTGGGGCAGGGGAGTGGGTCCTTCCGTGGTCTCTGGGGCGAGGACCAGGAGGACCAGCGTGGGCAGGTCTTCCCCACCTTTCCTCCGGGGCGGAGGGTCCGGGAGCTGCAGCCCAGCCCCGGCTCGAAGCCGGTTCTGGCGGCCCCTGCAGGTGAGGGCGCCACCACCGGGGGGACTGCCCTTCACTGTCAGCCCAAGAAAGTGCCTGCGTTCGTAGATCTTTAAATGACTTCAGGCTACTTTCGTTTGCAATGGTTTAATAGGACTCTAACGGAAGTGTCTGCATTTCGTCCATTGTCTGTTTTTCTTTTTTCACATCGAGGGGCGTCCTTACTGTTGAGTGCGTTGTGGACGACCCCCTTCAACACGCTTCTGTCCAGGTCCCCTGGGCCGTGGGCCCCGGGAGCAAAGCACCTCCAAAGACACTGTTTCTCTGAAAAGCTGTCTGGTCGCCTCTGACCCAGATCAGCCCGTCTGGGTCCCTTCTCCTCTCCCCAGCCTCCAGTCCCCCGACCCTGACCCCCGCCCTTCCGCTGGCCACACTCCTGCCCTCGGAGGATGTGGGAGGAGAGGCCAGTCCACGGGCTGACCTTAAACCTCTGGAATTAATTTCTCCTCACAGACAGACCCAGCCCACGTCTTTGGCTCCCTGGCCTCTCAGTGTCACGCATTTTGTCATAAAACTGCAATTTATCAGGTACACGGTCCCCCCGACGAGGAGGCCAGGCTCTCCCTGTTCCTGCCTGTGACTTCTCATCAGATCTGGGAACTGACGGGCCAAGGACAGAGCAAACCCTCCCGGGTGTGAGGAGACGGGCGGATGTTCCCCCGCGGGGACCCTCTGTTCCGTGCCGTCCCGGCGGGCGTCCGGCCCAGCGGCTTGTCTCGCCCCGGAGCCCCGCTCTTGGCAGCAGGTGCTGATGTTCGACCCGATGCCCCCCGCCCCGTCAGGGCCTCCAGCACAGCTGCTCTGAGAAATGAGGCCAGGGAAGGACTGTCCCTGAAACAGAGGTCAAGGACATCTGCCTTGGGGCATTTGGGAAGTGGGGACATGAGCTAGGATAGCTGCCCTCCACTCTGTCCACCCCGCCGGCCCTCCAGCCTGTTCTCTTTCCTCTGTCCACACATTAGTGATTAAGCACGTGATGTTCAGAGTCAGCGTTTCTGGAGCACGGATGGTATGCTAGGTCCTGTGGGAAATGCTTTACCTGCATTTAAGAAATTTAAATGTTCTAACCCGTGGGAGGGTTGTGCTTTCTCGCTTTCAGATGAGAAATCTCAGCCTGGGAGGGCTGTGCAGCCTCACGTGTCTGTGAACAGTGTCCCTGGCCATGTGCAGGGAAGAGGGTGGAAATGGTTGATGGGCCCTGAACCCTGCCCTCCCCGAGCCTCAGGTGTAGGGTCGAGGGAGGACGGGTGACTCTTCTTCCCAGAGGGATGGCCCAGGGGACTGGGACACCACTGTGAGCCTGGCAATGTGTGTGTGGGGGGCGGGTTGGGGGGGGTGTGTGTTTGAAGAATTAAAATAAGACCAATCCAGACAGATTTGGAGACATAATATGTGGGCAGTTGTAGGTCAGCACAGAGCTGGACATGTAAGCAGGGCAAGAGCACATAAAGCCTCGTGGACTGTCTTAAGGATTTTGGACTACATCCTAAAAGTGGTGAGACGCCACTGAAAGTTTTTAAGGAGGGGGGTGACGCCCCCAGGCTTGCCTTTTGTAAAGTCTGCTTGGGCTGAAGTCAAGGGGGAGTGTTCTGGAGAGGAGACCAGAAAACAGTGATATAGTCCAGGTAAGAAATGACCGAGGCCTGAATCAAGCAAGGTGTAACAGTGAGGATAAGGTAAAAAAAATAAATAAATAAAGACAGACTCAAGATATTTGAAAGAAAAAAATGGACAAAAACTGATTTTTGGATGTGAAGGAAAGGAGGAAGAGAGAAGTAAAACAGTGACACCCAGGTTACCGGCGTGGGCAACCAACCCAGGTCTCTGAGTCCTTTCCAGAACAGGCTTCATCGGGGGTGACCACGGCTAATAGCACAGTGCAGGCAACAGCAGGGGTTGGGGCAGCACTGCCTGTCTCCCTTGGGTTGCAGGCCTTTGGCCCATGTCTACAGGATAGCAATGGTAGATATTTAAGAATGTCACTTTGAACCTCTTGTCTCCTGTGTACCAACCTTCCTCTTGTTGGCTTGGGACTGATAGGATGCAAAAAGGCCCTCCTTACTGGCCTACATGGACTGTAAGTAGCAAGGTGAGAATTCTCTAGGTGCTGTTTGACAAGCCCAAGGATGGGTGATGGGGCTTGGTGACCCTTCCACAGAGCATCCTTTTTGCATTCTGAGCAAGATGTCTCAGCTTCTGGACTTCCCACCGTAGTGCACAATGCATTATTTTTTGACTGTCTCCTTTAAAAAAAAGATTTTATTTATTTAGTTTTAGAGAGAGGGGAAGGGAGGGAGAAAGAGAGGGAGGGAAACATCAATGCGAGAGAGAAACATGATTGGTTGGTTGTCTTTTGCAGGTGCCCCGACTGGGGACCAAATGCATGACCCAATCATGTGCCCTGACTAGGAATCAAACTCGTGGCCTTTCGCCTTGCAGGATAATGCCCCACCAACTGAGCCGCACCAGTCAGGGTGAATGTCTCCTTTATACTCAGGATTTTATTTGATCTAATCCACCCAGCGTTGTGTGGTCGCTACTGTGAATTGTCTCGTTTTACTGACCAAACTGTGGCCATGCTCCTAGCAATCAAATGGGTTAAAAATCCAACCCAGCCCATCAGACATTTTTTAGGTTAAAATTTGCCTTTAGTCATTTTAATTTTTTAATTTTATTTTTTCAATGAGAGTTGACATTCAGTATTATTTTATATTAGTTCCAGCCTGTCTGATTAAAGATGGCATTTCTGAGGTTTAACCTTGGCCATGGTATCAAGAAATGGTGACATCAAGGCCTCTGTCTAGAGAAATACTCAGAAGACTTTTTCGTATAGCTGCCCTTTCCCCCAAACCCCCACAAAAACAAAATCCCACTCTTCCACACCCTCAAGTAACAGAAATCCTGAGAGCAAGGGAAGTGATCGCATGTCGACTTTGCATCCTGTAGAATTCTCTCTGCTTTCTTCCATCTGTCCTCCCTCTCCCGCCCTCCCCTCATCCCTTCTCCACCAGCAATGTATTTTCCTGTCAAAACATACTTGGTTACCCGCAGTGCAGCCAAAATTGCTGCTATTAGCTTAATTGAGACAGGGTGATTATAAATAAATTACATGCAGCACCACCGACATTGCCGCTATTAGCGTAAACCGACACAGGATGATGGGTCGTCTCCAACGGCAGCTTCATTCAGAGTGCGTGCCACAGGGAGGCCTGTGGTCACCCGGCAGCCCGAAGGCCGCAGGGCCCACTCCCGGAGAGATGGACTTCAAGGTTACATTTTGCTGGTAACTGAGAGAGCAAAAGCCCAAAGTCCATGCAGCCTCTTGGTGGGGTCCACTTGCAGGCTAGTAATGAGCTTTTTAGCAACTCTGAGCTGAAAAGGACCCTGGTGAGAAACCATCCCATAGAGAAAATCCGTGTGATAGAGTACATGTGTGCTGGCACAGCTCAATGAATGAATCTGCCGCCACTTTCCGTAATGAATACGGTGGGTTTGTACTAGTGCTTTACTTTTTTCTAACTGTGGCCTCCCTACACGCACACACGAGAAAACTTCAAAAGCATAGATAGTACACAAGAATGAAACTGTCACTTTTTCTCATTTTCACAACACTGTTAGGCTCTGGTGTATTCCATCCTTTCATTTATATCTTTATGTATTCCCTCGGACATAGCTGACACCTATGGGATCCATGATTCTATATTAAGCTCTTTTTTTCATGGATGGAAAGATATTTAAACCATACATTATAGATTAAAGATAAAGAGTCCACCAGGGAGAAGTTGTCCCGGGTGCCCCGTTTCTGGAGGCAGCGTGGGGGGCTGGAAATCCACGGGTGAAGGGAATTTTTCTTTGTCTTCCTAATTTTCTGCTGCAACCCTTCAAACCTCCACTCACCAGCCTGGGTGGGACCAGAAAACCCTGGTGGAGGTTCTCATTCTGTCATTAAGGATCCTCGGGCAAGTGACGCTCTGCACTTTTCGCCTTCCTCGGATAGATGTTCTGTTCTCCAAGGCACCTCTCAAGGCACGAGTCTACATACTTCGGAGCTGTTGAAAGCCATTTGCTACTGACTGTTAAATAAGACTAGGAGAGGAGGGTGATGAGGGTGACTGTCATGATCGAGCCTTCATGATCGACAACCATTACATTTACATTTTGAGATCGAAGTATGGAGGTGTGTTCTCCGTTAGCCCAGGAGACAGGCTCCTAAAAGAATGTGCTAGCGCCGCCTGGAAGTCAGATCGTGGTGCCCAGTTTCCTTATCACGGCCTCTCAAAGCAACTTGCCTTCCCCCCGAAGAAGCAGACCCAATGGTAGTTCTAATTTTTCAGATTCCTAAGCTTTTCTACCTACAATTAATGATTTAAAACCACTCAATGCTCTAAGGAAAATGAGTTATACTTTGTAATAATCATGTCATAGACTATTTTCTAAACTAATCATCTTAACTTATCTGGAACTTAGGTTTGGAATGAAAAAAAATGTATGGTCATTTTACTTCACTTTTCCGGTGTGAAACATTTGCATTTCTTTATTTCTCAAAATATACACATATCAGTGAGGTCAAATAGTATGTGTTTTCCCTGTCTGACTGACTTCACTTAGCCTAATGCCATCAAAGTCCACCCATACTGTCAGAAGATTTTCCCTTCCTTTTTTATGGCTGAATAATATTCATATATAATGGAAATTACTCATTCACCGATCAGTGAAACCTTCGGTTGTTTTCCTGTCTTGGCTATTGTGAATTATGCTGCAGTTAACATTGGGGGGCAGTGCAGTGCAGATATCACATTAAAATAGCCTACCTTACAAGTTTGTTGTAAGAGTTATAAATAAAATAAGTTTCTAGCACACACAGACTGGCATAAAGTAAGCAGTGAATAAATGGCATTTTTAAAAATTGCAGTGATGGTAAGCATATACTGTTTGTCTTTCGAGAAGTTAGGAGGCGGTGTTAGACACCATCGATCAAGCGTTTAGTGGATATTGTATATCTTCGTCATAGATGACTATCCTACCAGCTTTGCCTAATTTAGCAAGTGTCCACTTTACAAATGCTGTGGCTGAGATTTTTTAAAGCCTATACACTCTTTTGCACATAGAAACCCCTTGGCACAGAGGCTCACACCGAGCTGAAGGTGTGGCTCTTAATGTGTCACTCGTCATGTGGTGGGAGAGCTCGCCCTCAGTCTCACTGAGACTTTATTTCCAGCGTACAGTCACGGCAGGGAGAGGCGCTCTGTCCGAGCTCAAGGGCTCCCGCTGACGGTGTGCATAGGTGTGCAAGGCCTCTCCCTCCAAAGCCTTGAGATTAGCAAGTGTCTCCTTTCTCCTAGGGTTTTAAAGATCCTGTGTACCGCGCAAGACGGAAGCAATTCGCTGACATAGCCTACAACTACCGACAGTAAGTCTGCCGTGATGGGTGGGGGGAAGAGAGAGGAGCATGCTGCTAGCCTGCCTCTCCCTTGGCCAAGGCTGGAAAACACAAGCATGGAGAGCCCTGCCACAAGCACGTGTGGGCATGCGTGTGCGTGCGTGTGTGTGTAGACCCTCCCTTTAATAACACCTGTGAAAAAAAAATCCTGCTAGACAAAACCAATTACCCACTGGCTGGGGCCCAGCTCCCCTCCCAGGCTTTGTTGTGTAATTACGCAGTGATGTCTGAAGTAATTATAAGAGGCCTCAGTCCTGAATAAAAGAGCCGCTGGTATTCTCCATATTAAACATGGAAGGAGCAAAAAGAGAATCATTTACATTCAAGAAGCAGTTGGCTGCTTTACTAAAATAACGAATCACGTGAGGCTCCAGGCCAGCCAGCCTCAGCATTCTCCTTTCATCCGATCCGACCCACCTGCGAAGGGCGGTTTGCCCATGAGTGCCTTCTCCCCTTCCTGGGATTCTCTGCTCCTCCGCTACCTTCTCTTCGCCAAAGGAAAAGGCAAACATCGAATACGTTATTTGGAAGAGGACTGGTGTGCTGTGTTGAGTCCTGAGGAGCCTCAGAGATGCTCCCACGAGAAACTCAGTGTGTCTGGAGGTCGGAGCCCCATTCCTGAGTTCAGGGCATGAGAAAAGATGTGCATGAGAAGAAGCTTAGCAATTGGCCAGAACAGCGAGTAATGGTTCTTTAAGAACTTCGACTGTGAAGGCGATAATGGAGATGACAGGTCTCTATACTGAAGACAAAGTCACCTTTCAAATGAGAAAATTTCCTTCTCTGAATGACTCCCAGTAGTGGAAGGATCCAGAACTGTGCTGACCTTGGCCTAGCATGTGTGGGTTTTGGCCTGTGGCAAGCAGAAATCAGAGAATGTGGGGACCTCTCTCTTCTGTCCTTACCTTTGGCCTAGCACGGCAGGTGGACGCCATCAACTCAGGTATAGATAAGAGTCCTTTTTCAGCTAATCAATAATAATAGATCACATTATTACCTTCCTGCTATGTCTGGGGCTTTGCTAAGTGCTTTGTTTATGTTATTTTATTTAGTCTTAACAGTAACTCCCCATTTTCCTGATGGGAAAACTAAAGTAACGTGTTAAAGTTACAGTGAAGTAACTTGTTAAAGACATACTCTAGTAAGTGGCATGCTCTGGTTTTGAACTCAGGCTTGTTTCACTCCAAAGTCCTGCTCGATCACTTCCCTGAGGGTCCGGGAACTCTCCAAGTCAGGAGGCTGTACTTCTCCATCTATTTTACTTTCTGCTGGTTTTTCGCCTTCCTTTCTGATGTTTCTTCTCAGTCTCCTCTGGCCAGTTCCTCCCACCCCAGAAACTGTAACATCTTTCAGGACTCAACTTTGGCCCTCTTCCTTGGCTTGTGCTGCCCCCCTTGCCACCCACCCCCCACATTCAGGTCTCCAGCACCTTCCCCAAAATTGCTCCACATGGGGATCAAACTCATGCATCATGAATCATAGAATCTCAGTGTATTGATCGGTTGATAAAATGTGTCTCTGAGTAGTTAGCCCATGCAACAGCTGCACAGGCTAGGCCTAGAGAGGCACTAGATTGCCCAAGGCCACTCGGCTAGGACATGGCACAGCCAAGTACTGAACCCAGCTCTGTCCATTTCCAAAGCCTGTTCTTTTCCTTCATCAGCACCTAGCCCTGAAACAATGGTGCGTCTTCAGGCAGGGCCTTACCTGAGGTTCTTTTTACAATCCCTGCTGGTCATTACTGGACCTTGTCTTGCTTTTAATACTTAAGCAATAATCTGTCTTTCCCCCCTAATCTGTGCCCATCTTTCTGTAGAACATAACAGTGAACTTTGCTTTCCTGTCCTTGGATGAGCTACAATTCTGAGAAGGCAGGAGTGACCTAGTTTGGAGCCTGATGATGACGAGCTGTTATTCTGAGATAAGCAGTCTCGCCTTGTCCCAGATGCTGTGCATCCTGTTAGAAAACAGGCCCGCAGTCCACAGAACAGTCACTCATCTTTGAAGTCAGGCTTTCTTTGGCTTTATTTCACTGTTCAGAACACAGCTCATTCTTCATTTTTAAAAGGACCTTTGAAACTAAGGACTCCTAAACTATAGCATGTCACCTAGGAGCTTATTAGAATTGAGATGCCTGGACCCTCCCCTCCCCACAGATTCATGGTCTACAGGGCAGGGCCAGCATATGTACTTCGCTGAGCTCCCTGTGGTTCTGCCATGGCACAGCAGAAGATGCTAGGTAAGCAGGCTGTATACCTAGCATGCACTTCAATACCTTTGTAACTTCCCAGGAGCAGAAATAACAAATCCAGAAAGTGCAAGCCCACTGAGCAAGGGTCTGAGGCTCACGGTGCACATATTAAATCCACTGTAGCCCACAGATATAATTGCTTTAGTTAACATAATACAAAACTTGAGTTGAACTTGGATGCCTTTGTTTAGAAAGAGGATGCACTCTCCAGTAGTTTCACCCCCACCCTCCTATTGTCCACACCTACTAGTTTACACATTTACATTACCTGTCTGCCCTCTGAAGGTAAGTGAATTTCCATCTTACCTAAACAATTGGAGAGAGAAGAGAGCAGAAAGGCCAAGTGACTTCCCACTGTGACAGCAAGTCCTTGGTGCAGTGGATGAGGTGAGGCCTTGTATTGTCACCTAACCAAATCAGTTGAATGTTTCCTACATCAAGAAGTGGAATTATCCCCTTGCAAATACCTTATAGAGTCCAGGTGGTGGCAGCTCACAGATCCTGGACCATCTCCCCCTGCTGATGCTCCTTCATCCACCACTGTGCACCTGCCCTGCCGGAGACCAATAACTCATGCCTGTATTCTAGTGGGCAGCCCATCCCGCGAGTGGAGTACACAGAGGAGGAAAAGAAAACATGGGGGACGGTGTTCAAGACCCTGAAGACCTTGTACAAAACCCACGCTTGCTACGAGCACAATCACATCTTCCCACTGCTGGAGAAGTACTGCGGCTTCCGTGAAGACAACATTCCCCAGCTGGAAGAGGTTTCCCAGTTCCTGCAGTGTGAGTCCGCAGCAGGGCCACGGGCGAAGGGGCGGGAGGGGAAGTGGGTCTGTGGCAATGCATTCAGGTCGACCCTCCCAGGAAAACTAAAATGTCCTTGCTGAGCTCTGCCTCCCCACAAGTAGACACCGGGCATGACTTTTGCCTTATCAATGCCCCTGAGAAGTGTTTTATTTTTTTCATACTCAAAGCCCAGGTCTCTCAGCCTGAGCTCTCCTTGCACCTCTGCTATGTTCTGAGATGGCTGCAGTGTGCCTCTGGGTAAGAAATGTGTTATTTGTGGGGCAGTGCGAAGAGCCCTGAGCTCTAAGTCCACATCCATCCATCTGGTGTGAATCATGCTCTGACTTTCTCTCGCTGGGTGAACTGACCTCAGTGTGTCATCTGTCCAGTGGGGCCTGTGCCAGCCTTTTAGCCTTTCCCATGGGGCAATAGTGAGAATAAAATAAGACGTTGCATGGTAAAGCACCACTATGGTGATACATCCACGGTAGGTGCTCAGTGCGTTTGGACTCTGAGTACCTCAGTGGGGACACCCATTATTGGGGTGACTGGCCTCTTCCCATCATTTCCAGGGAGATAAGTGTTTCTCTCTCTGCCAGGATGGGTTGCTAATTCAGCACAAACTGTCAGCTGCATTACTGACAAAGGCAGCTCAGAGAATGTGGTGGAGATGTGCAGCCGCCGTGGGCTTCCTGGTATTCCACCCCTAGATGAGGTGTACCTACCTGGCAATTCATCGGCGCAGCGTGTAGTCCACTGCATGGCCAAGAGCAGGCCAGAGCGTGCTCCTCTGTGGACACTCAGACAATCAAGAGAGAAAGGGATGACTAAGCGGCATTGAGAATATTCATTCCTCTTCCCAAAGGCTCCAACGAGAGAAGTCACTGCTCCTCAGGGGGTGGTCTGTGTGAGGTGCCATAGGGGAGCCGGGGTGCTCCTTTCGTATTTTCCTCCCTGGGAAGTGTTGTGACAATTTCCTCTGCGCTCTGGAAACAAGAGGAGTGGGGAGTAAGTGTTTCAACTTCACCAATAATAAATTTATCGGATGTTTTCAACATGCTAAGTATGTGAAATTACTTGATTAGCTCCGTTGATTCTTAGGATAATCTTAAGAAGTATTCATCCACCTGTTGCGGATGAGGAAACCGAGGCTTAGAGAAGTGAACGGACTTGGCCCACATCACCCAGCTAGACAGCATTGGGGCAGACATTTGAGGCCCAGTCTCCCTGGCGTTGGCACCCATCCTCCTGGACAGCTGGATGTACTGCTTCCCTATCTAAGGCTTCAGGCCTCTCTGGTTCTTCTGTGATGGGTGTTGAGTTTTCTTTCTCCCTTGCTCCTTAGCTTGCACTGGCTTCCGCCTCCGACCTGTGGCTGGCCTGCTTTCCTCTCGAGATTTCCTGGGTGGCCTGGCCTTCCGAGTCTTCCACTGTACTCAGTACATCAGACATGGGTCCAAACCCATGTATACACCTGAACCGTGAGTACTGTCCCCGCCCAGTACCAGTTGCCAGCGACAGTGTACGCTGCCTCTCCCTCATTCGGGAATGTGGTTTGGGTTCATGGTGGACTGATCCATAAAACATGTTGCCTGGATGATTTGATTGTTTGATGTTAAGAGAAAAGCTCATCTCTTCTAGGCATTTTCTCTGTCCAAATAGAAAGGCCGTACTGATTAGAAATTTGGGCATCTTGAGGGCTAAAGATTCAGACTTCCCTTAGCCATGGAAATGAAAGGTCACTTTCAAATTCCAAAGGGATTGTAGAAGTCAGAGCTATGAGGTTTCAAATGGGAACAGGAAATGGGAAAGAGGCAGCAAGCTATCTCAACATCTCCTAAATACGTGCCTCGATGAATCTAAGCTTTCTTTGCCTGATTATGTTTTAGCTGGAGGTACAGAATGGCTCGCTGCTATGCTGCTTACTTTTGAATTTAGCTATCCTCTTAGGCAGCTAGATATTCAGCAATTTATACAAAAAGTCAGCAAGACACCCCGCATAGTCTTTCCCTGCCCTCAGAGTTCATTACTATAAATCAGAAAAGATCTGTTCTCAATGGGTCTGGCACATAAAGTGTTAAATCAATGTGTTTTCTTCTCTCACTGATTGCTGCCAACTCCAGAATAAGAGAGGAACAGTGCTATTAAGATTTTTTAAAAATCCCTGTGGGAAATAACTGAGCAGATTGGATCTGCCCAGGAATGTCAATGCCAAGGTGAAGACTTGGGATGGGAACTGTTCATGATCCATACACAACTCACTCAGGTGTATGGGAGGATGCCCACAGGAATATTCACCCCTCTGCACCTCAGGGGGCATACACCTAAGACTCCCTGGCTGCTGTGCCCTGCCTGCCCTGTCTCTTACCCTCCTTTTCCCTTCCTTCTTTTCTCTTATACCCTGCCTCATCTGATCCCAAGGTTTACATACCACTTATTCTTGGAAGGGAGGCCATAAACCTGAAAGAATTACTTCATTTCTTTCTGCTTATTCCTCATGTGGAAAGACCAAGTCTAGCTTGCTTTGTAACCCTTCCTTACTCCCAAACTCTGTGCTCTCTGTCTTTCAGTGACATCTGCCATGAGCTGTTGGGACACGTGCCCTTGTTTTCAGATCGCAACTTTGCCCAGTTTTCCCAGGTGAGGAGTGAATCTCTTTAGCCTTCTAAAGGCTAAAGAGGTTAACTACAGGGGTGAGACCTGGATTGCTCAAATAAACTGATACCATGGAGGCACCCTCTTATCTTCTGGGAGGTGCAGCTCTGTGCTCACATCTGAGGTGGGTGTGTGGTCTCATGGAGATGGCGAAATACCCATTCGAGAGACCACAGCGTGGGATTGGTGAATTGCTTATCCTCTGAATTATATTGTTGAATTTGCTAATCTCACTTGTCCTTCCAGGTGTAGTTTAAGAGCCTTTTGGTCCATGAAAGCCTCCCTGATCCACATGTAGAAGTAGCCCTACCTTCTCAAGCAGACTTTGGTACATGCTTTCATTAAGTAAGATGACATTTGCCAAGAATCCAATGCCAATAGAATCCAAAGTCAACTCAGAATTGCCAAAAAATAATAAATTTGTTATCTTTCTACTCTAATCAAAATAACAGGCTAGATCTTGATTCATCCATCACAGTGGTGACTAGTTTTAAAAATGCTTTCGGGGTCAGTGAAAGAATCCCAAAAGTGTTCTTTCTCTCATGCTCTCTGGGCACATAAGGGCAGCCTAGAACCACAGTGGGGTAGTGGGGGTCATGAGATTGTTGAATGATGCACTCATAGGCCCTGCTGTGCCACCAATCAGCTTGCTGAGCCACCCTGTGCCTCATTCTCCACAGATATGGACCAATAAAAAGCCCTCCTCACACACACACACACTCACAAATAATCACACTCACACTCACACAATGAGTATCACATGGATTGACCCACAAGCAAATGCTGGACTGTGGATGAATTTCACAATAATGGGATTGCATGTGAACTTTAAGCAGCTGAAACAAATAAATATTTCTACTGTTGAGTGAAGAGGCTACTACTTAATATCTAAAACAGATAGACAAAGAGCTGAATTAACTGCTTGCTAAGTAAGGGAGAACTGTACTTGCAAGACACAACCTTCTCCAAGCAAAGAAAACTGTTGCTTTTCTGTAGGGTTCTGGGAATTGTGGAGTACAGAGATTGCCGGGCTTTTAGAAGTGGGAATGTTTAAAGATTTGTTCACGCTTAACTGTGGAATCGTCAAGACTGGACTGAGGTTACTTGCTGACCAGCTGTCTTTCAGAAGTGTCATTCTTGCTGCCAGGATGTCATTGATTGTTTGGGAACCTTTAAAACTGGGTTTTATTACCATGGCCAAAGATAAATCAATTTTCTTCTCAGAGAACAGGAACATTTTGTTCTCACCACCAGAAGCTATTCTGCCCAATCAGAGGCTAAGTAAAAATCCTCGTTAAGCCATTTGCATTTTGTGGAGCCCCACAGAGGAATGGCCCATAACCTGAGTCAAGAGATGGAAGCTGTGGGCGCATGGTTTCAACTTCGATCCGGACAGTCCCGAGGCAGAGAACCATACTGAAGCTTCCCTGAGCACATTCTTTTTTAATCTATAAGCCAAACTCACTTTCCACTAGAGTGAAAGATGAGGTGAGGATGGAGCACATGGAAATCTTGGGACCCCATGTTCTAAGCAAGCTCTGGACCCACAAAGAATGGTGACTACTAGAACAGGGTTATCATTGTGATCTTGGATTGAAGATAGACTTAGGACTGTGGTGTGTCTGGAGCAGAGATGGGGAAGGAGCAGGAGAGAAGAGCCAGGTTCAGCCAGTATCTACATCTGTCTTTTTCTAACTAGACAGCATTTTCCCTGCATGTCATCTGGGCCGGATATCAGGTTTGGCCAGGGCAGGAATATAGGGATGGAGACTACCATGTGGCCTTTTGCTTCATAGTGGACCCAATCCTTAGTCCTTCTCTCTGCTTACATTAATTCATTGATTATCTCCTCCAGTTTCATAGCTTTGAATACTATCCCTATCCTTATGATGAACACATTTATATCTTCAGCTTGGACTTTAATCCTAAAACTTAGATTTACATATCCGATCACCTATGCAATATCCTACTTGGACATCTAGCAGACACCTCTGTTTACCCTATCCAAAACTAAATTCCCGACTTTCCTGTTCAAACCATCTCCCCACAGCCCTCCCTAGGTTAGTTCATGCCAACTCTGTCCTTCCAGTTTCTCAAACCAAAAGCACTTGGGGCAAAGGACTGACTCCTTTCACCTTTCAGAATACGCTAAGCGTTTTACCTTCAAAACATGTGTAGAGTCTGGCCATGCCCATCGTGTTCACTGCTACCAGCCTGGTCTCAGCTGTAGCATTTCTCACCTGGTGACTGCAGCAGCCTCCTCACTGGTCTCCCTACCTCTACCCTTGGCCCCCTACAGTCTATTCTCATACAGCACCCACAGTGAATCTTTGATGACATAAATGAGATCTTGCCACTTCTCTGCTCAAAACCTTGTAATGGCTCCCCATTTCACTGAGAGAATAATCTTAAGCCCTAAAGAACCAAAAAGGTCCTACATGATTGGGCTCCAGGTTCCTCTTTGATATCACCTGTCATGCCCCCAGCCTCTTACTCTGCTGTAACTGCACTGGTCCCTCTCTGTTCCTTGAACTAACTGCATTACTCCTCCTTAGAGAGATTTTCATTGGCTGTACACTTGGCCTATACAATGTCCTTCCTTCACATGTCAGCAGAGCCAACAACCTCACTTTTATCAAGTTTTTGCTCAAATATCTCAACAATGGTTATCCTGGGACCCTATTTAAAATCACTCCCAGTACCTCTCCCCACTCCTGGCACTATTGATTCCCCTTGACCCTTTTTCTTTTTGTTCCTTCCTCCCAAAGAATTTACAACCTTCTAACATACCCATATATATGCTTATTATTTATTTTCTGTTTCTACCTACTCAAATGGAAACACCATGAGATAAAGGATCTTTATCAATTTTATATACTTCCAGCCACATAGAAGGCATTCAGTGAATATTTTTGCAATGAATGAATGAAAGCATGCAGTAGGGAAGACACACATATACATATATATTTGTATATATACACTAATACAAGGCTGGCTGCAGCAAATGCTGTAACAGACCAAGAGACCACTAGAGAGATTTTACAGTTGGAGCTGTGATGAGAGGGGTCCGTGACATTTCATACTCTGCAACTATATGAGTATGTACCTGGACGGATGTCCAGCACTTCTGCTGTGGTGTCTTCAGGGTATATGGTTAAGACTCATCCAGCACTCAGAAGTGTTCCACTTCTGCTGTGGGAGAATAATCTTTGAGCTGAAATCAAGAGATGAAGTTTTAGACACAAAATACTGTGTAACCTTGAGCGGGTCATCTTCCTTTTCTGTGCTACAGTTTACTCATCTTTAAGTGAATACAAAGGGCCAATCATTTCTCCCACTCTAGGATCAGTGATTCTCTGATGTGTGGTTGGGGCAGACTTGCCAGAACAAGCAGGGTCTCTCTGGGCCCTTCTGAAGGCATCTGGCTATCTACCTGCTTTCTGTGGTCCATTACAAGGTGGAAACTGAGGGTAAAGGTTGAAGACAGGCAGATCCCAGTCATGCCAATGACTCTGTTTCTCCACAATTACAGGAGATTGGCCTCGCCTCTTTGGGTGCACCTGATGAGTATATTGAGAAACTCGCCACAGTAAGTTCCTGCTTCCCCTGGTGGGTAATAGGAGTGTTACAGGCTCTAGCCTTCAGGTTTTTGAAGTTTCTAACCTTCCCTGAAAGCCAGGTCATTTGGAAAGAGAATCAAAATGTGCTGGGTTATATTTACACAAGTGAAATTTTACATTTGTATTTCTCTTTAGTGGTTTGGTTTTGAAATCAGCTGCATGCAGATATTTACATGTGATTCTAAACAAAGTGCCTTGAAAACATCAACAGACTCTAATTATCACCCTTGGGAATTCTTGGGCATAAAATGTGTCTGTGGAATCAGTGACTGACGGGGTAATTCAGAAACATCCAAAGTTTAGCATAGTTGAGAGGATGACCTCTGATTGGTTCTATCACCATCCAATCCCTGCCCCCCACTGCTGAGCCTGATGGCATTGCCTGGTAGCTTCAACCAACTTAAAGGGAACATCTTACTCTGATTGATGCCATGGGGAAGAAAGCACAAGTGGTGGAGGAGTTCCTGTCCTAGAGAGAGAAATTTGTTAGGGGTATACCTTTGGGGCTCCCTCAATACTCTTCCCCCCTACCATTGCTTCCTGTTGCATCTTGCATTCAGCCAACTCTTGGTTCAACAGGTTATGGCTTAGTGTGAAACACAGGAGACAGAGAGGTAACCCCAGGTCATGCTGATTCCAAGAACAGACCTGCACAAACTCTCACCTGGGCAGGCCTGTCCTTGATCCTGGGGCATCTGCTGCCTTCACCTTCCTTGGGGTATGTTCTCAACTTGACGTTCCATTCCAGATTTACTGGTTTACTGTGGAGTTTGGGCTCTGCAAAGAGGGAAACTCCATAAAGGCATATGGTGCTGGGCTCCTGTCATCCTTTGGTGAATTACAGGTATGGCCCTAACAGGAACCCAATGATGGATTTGGAAGTGGGAGAAACAGCCGATGATTCTTTTTACTCTTGGTCCTGTGGAAAACTCATTTCTATCCATTCTGTGACTCAATCCTGAGGATTAACCTCAAGTAATTGGTACCTTTGGCAGGTATGATTTGATCATGAATGTGGGTATTAGAAATTGAACTGTAAGTACACAGGTCTCCAGGACAGAGTGCCTTCCTGATTCCAAGGCTGAACTACACATACTGATGTATGCAAACACATGCCAGAAAATGTGGTCAGCTCCCACATCATCTCTTGATTGATGGTTGGAGTGAATTATTTCTTTCTATCTTGACTGCAGGTTTTAGATGAATTACAAAGGATGGGATCGAGTAGATGCAAAATAATGTAGCTTACTGCCCTGGCCTGGGGTATGGAAGGAATCAGGATGAGATGAGAGCAGGTGTACAAATGGCCCATCGGATGCAACAGGGGCCACTGGCTCTGATGTAACTCTGAAATCTTTCTACTTGGGGTTTGCAGTATTGCTTGTCTGACAAGCCAACGCTCCTCCCTCTGGACCTGGAGAAGACAGCTATCCAGAAGTACACGGTCACAGAGTTCCAGCCCTTGTATTATGTGGCTGAAAGTTTTAATGATGCCAAGGAGAAAGTAAGGTGAGGTGGCAACTAAGGTGGGTCAACAGCTCTTGGGACCTCCGGACTTGGTCTGATGCCACTGATCTGTGGGTGGTGGGTCAGGAGGTGGACTCCAGTGCCCACAGCAATAGTGCGCAGCAGACAGAGCCTTCCACCCTTGTCCCTTCCCACCCTCTGTTGGGAACGGTTCCTTAGTGGAACCCTGTTTCACAGCTTATTGTCTGAACAATCTGATCCCTACAGACTACTCAGCCCTCTGATCCTTGTTCATTGCAGCCACTAAGTCCACCCATTGAACCCCCCTGTATATAGAGTGGCCACAAAGATCCTTCCACCCAATCAGCCAATGAAATCTTAAAAGCTAGGGAAGCCCTTTGTTCACTTCGTTTTCCTAGACACCTGCATAACTCTTTTCCTGATTTCCTTTAAATCTCCACCCACATTTAACCTTTGTGTGTCTTTTTCTAACCAATGTATTCAAATTCACTACTCAGCCCCACCCCAGCATTTCTTACCCTCTCCTATGACTTCTTTTTCTCTTTACTACTCATCAATGTCTACTAATCATATATTATATTTCTTAAATTCATGAGGATAGGGATTTTGTCATTTCTGTTTTCTGTTCTTCCCCCAGGCCTTAGGGTGTTCAAACTGCAGGCCACACGTGGCCCAGGACAGCTATGAATGTGGCCTAACAAAAAATCCTAAGTTTACTTAAAACCCTTTTTTTGGCTCATTAGTTTTCACTAGTGTTTGTATATTTAATATGTGGCCCAAGACAACTCTTCTTCCAGTGTGGCCCAGAGATGCCAAAACGTTGGATATCCCTGCTTGCCTGATGCATCGTAAGCACTCAAGTAATTAGCAAATGCACCAATCTCCTGGCCAGCAAGAGGCTGATGGGGTACTACAAGGACTCTGAAACTTGCAGCCCACTGAGCTGATAGCCCTGCCATTAACCCACCTGACCAACTCTCTTCCTAGCAGCATACAGGTTGGACATGGCTATGCTGATACCATTTGTTACCACATCTTTCTTAAGCATCATTAGTGACGGATAATAGACATGAGGTATGTAGGCCTCTGGGATCCTATGATACTGAGGATGTCAGCTTTCAATGCTTTGGACTTAGGTCATGAAAGGTAAAATTCTTGCCATGAGCATACACATTTGGCCTAAAATGACTCCCTTTCTCCCTCTCCCTCCAGGTTCTGATGTTCTTCCTGACACTCTTTTCCAATTCTCTCCTAAGACTCTGCCCCTTACTATGAGCCTAGCCTCCCATGAGCCCCTAAAGATCCCACTCTGCCATTCCTGTGGCCCCTTTATGGTTATGGGATTTAGTGGATTAGTGCAGTGAAATAATAATGATGAGAATAATAATAACAGCAACAACAGGTAAGATGTCTATTACTTATTATTGCTAAACACTTTTCTGAGTACTTTCCATGTATTGATTCACTTAATCTTTATATAAGACTACAAAGTTTGCAGATGAGGGTACAGAATCATAGAGGGGTATAAGTAACTCACCCAGGGTCATGCAGCTAGCAAGTGACTTGGCCAGGGTGTGGACCTGGGCAGTGGGACTCAGAGCCAGTACCTTTCACACGGGGATCACATTGGAACCGGCCCTACTAGAGAGGATTCCCTCATTCAGCAAGTAATTGGTCCCAGACCCATAGGGAAGAAATTTCCAGAACCTGGGCCTCTCAGGCCTTTGAAACCCCACCTGCTTTGCTAGTGTTCAGGGTCCAGAGGAGACATCCACAAAAGCTCCATGCCACAGAGGGGTATCTTGCAGAACCAAAGAGAGTTCTAAAAAGAAGGCTCAAACAGGAAGGGACCTAGGCATCTCTGGGACTCCCACAGTGCCTTCCAGTTAAGAGAGACCAATGGGACCCTCTTTCAGTTTCAAGTTTCAAGTTCTAGGCAGAGACAAGGATCAGTATGGTCATGCTCCTACTCCTTGGCCAAAGGAGGCCTGGGCCCTGAGACTGATTGCTCAACTGAGGTACATCAGTAGGGCAGAGGCAGGTGACCCAAAGCAAAAATGAGGTGAACTGTGGGAATAAGAAGGAAGACGTGCTGAATAAAATCATATGTGCATGACACAGTTCATGTCAGCAGCTGGGCTGAGAAAGCTCTTTTCAGAGAAGAGGTATACTTAACCATTTATTCTTCACCAGTCCCCTGTCACTAATAACTGATAACAGCTAGCACATATGTAGTACTTACTCTGTACTATAAGTGCACTTGCTACAACCCTCTGAGGTAGTTCTGCTGTTGTTCCAGTTTAACAGAGGAATAAGGATACTGAGGGGTAGAGGACCCTTTGCCCATGGCTCCTGGGATGGTCACTGGAAGAGGCAAATGTGAGTCCAGGCATTCTGGCTCTGGAACTAGGGTATCCAGCCATTACACTCCACCACTCTTGCTAAACTTGGAGAGCCCTACTAGCTGCCCTTGTCATTGTCTTCTCAGTATGGCAGCTTCTACTCTTAGCAGAAGCCAACTTAGAAATATCATTTGTGATATCTTTGCATGTTATAGGTCATTTTGGAATATCTTGTTAATTATATTGCTTGATGCCCCTCATAAAGCTCTTGTGGTGCATTTTTCTCAGACCCAGGAGTAATGAAGAACACAGGCTTAGTGAAGGATTAGATCATCTGGGTCTCTTGCCACCTTCACAATCGTCAGTGTGGCCTTGGTAGTCACTTAGCTTTCCCAAGCCTCAGTTTATCATCTGTAAAATAGGAATAATAATAGTACCTTCCTACTAGTGTTTCTATGAAGATTAAAATAGGAATAGTAATTATAAAGAGTATAGAACATGAAGAACTCAACATAGTTCTTGGCACATAGGAGGACTTGAGCCATGCTAAATTTCATTAATAATGTAGTGCTTTCTTCAGTCCTTGAGAGGTGTATTTCCCTTCTTGCACTGACTTCCAAGCATCTCAGAGCTTATTTTTTTCCGTAATATTCTTTAGCTGTATTTTATTTACTCTTTTTATTTCATTTTATGTAACGATGAGAATTTTGGCCTCATTGCAATCTGCTCTTTTAAGCTGCCTCTGTCTTTTTGGAGGTAGTGACCCACCCCCAAAATATGTGCATCCATGTATTACAGGCATGGAAACAGCAAAGGGTTCCCAAGAGGACCCCATTAAAACTCCACTTTACTTCTCAGCCTGGCTTCTAAATCCCCGTTCTAATGAGTATTCAGTGCTACTGCTAGTAGCTGAATGAAATGCCACTGAGAAATCTTTCAGAATGACATTTTCCGCAAACAGCGCCCTTCACTCAGATCTGTGGTTTTGGTTTCAGGAGCTTCGCTGCTACAATCCCGAGGCCCTTCTCTGTTCATTACGACCCATACACCCAAAGGATTGAGGTCTTGGACAACACCCAGCAACTTAAGATTTTGGCTGACACCATCAACAGTAAGTAACACACCTTCTGAGGCCACCTTCTTTCCTGGAAATAGAGGGTTGTGTTTCTTACCTTCATAATAGGAATGGTAAGAAATGTATTAAATATTGATGGAAGGAGAAAAGCATCTCCATGTAAGAACAAGGCATGAATGGGAGTGGCTTCATCATATCCTAGTCCAGTGGTCTAGGCTGCATTATCTGTTTAGACTGTGCATCCTCAAACCTAGTGTGCATCAGAATCACCTGGGGTCATAGTTAAAAATAAATAGTCATGAATCATAGCCCCAGACTAATTTTACTAAATTTGTGGTGGGGCTTGGGAGTTTGTATTTGTAATAAGGTCCCAGGTGATTCTGACATAGGATGTTTTTATGGACCACACTTTCAGGTTCAATAGCTTAGCTCCTTGGAAGCATCAATAGATGGTCATGTAAATGAGAAACAGAATAGCTGGTGATTTTCTTGGGAGAGAAAACTGTTAACTTCTTTGCTGAGAACCAGTCAATGGAAAGAGGAAGATAACTCCATTAGTAGCTCTAGCACTTCTTAAAACTTGTAACTACCTGTGCCCAAGTTCAATCGCCATAGCTAAGCCATGAGCTCCTTGAGGGCTGGGGTGGTACCTAGCATCTCCATGCATCCTGATGATTTCCCAGTGCTTTATCCATTGTGGACACTTGAAAGGTGTTTGTTCATGGTATGAGCAGCTCATCTGTTTATTTATTTATTTATTTTTGTAGGTGAAGTTGGAATCCTTTGCAGTGCCCTCCAGAAAATAAAGTGAAGCCATAGACAGAACCGGGTCTGTCAACTGAGAACCTGTTGATGGAAATCCAACTACTTCTTTTATCTGAAAAAGTCTGAAAATCAAACCTTAATTTGAAATGGCAGCTTTAAGTCATTTTTTGAACAAGATGAGGATTAACAAATAAGTCTAAATAATCTGAAATGACAGTATATTAATACATACCCAAAAGCATAATGATGGATCTTTTGGGGTTATCTTTGACTTAGAGATAGATGATAATCACATACTCTCAATTTAGTTAAACTTAATAATCTCTCACACTTTATCAAAGTTAATTAGAATTTGTGACCTGCTTCTTCCAAGCTTCATATTTACCATGGGAAATTCCTAAAGGAGTAGATATCACTCGGTGATTGAACTTTTGGATTTAATATAAATCTTAGCCCACAAAGGTCCTTTTCTATTTCAGTAAACTGTGATTCTAATAACTGACTTGTTATGCTATGTTACCTACAAAGATTTTTAATTCAGGACCCTATTAAATAGTTAGAAGCATTAAAGTTCATAGTATAATAGCAACATATTTCTGTGTTTTATTGTAACCATAAATACTGCTGTGGGAGGTAATAGAAGTCCCACCTGACTCCCACCACTTGCACAATCATTTTCCAGTAATTGTAAAATTTGCTTTGAGAGACATTTTGAAGACACTTAAGATAAAACAGATGTTAACTAAAAGCCTGGCTGGTAGGTATTCAATAAATATTCGTTGAATGACTAAGGGAATATGTTACTGAATAGCAAATGAGAGTTTTTAATTACGTTTAAAAACTTAAGTGGTTATAAAATTTTGCACTTCCAAATATTTCTTGGAATAAAGTATTTCTCTCATTGCCTTAGAAGTGTATTAGCTGCATAATCTTGTGACATGAAAGAGTAATCAAAGTCTCTAATTTTCAAACCATTGCAGAGGAGCCTCATTGTGGTCATCTCAGTCATGTCTGGATAGGTCAACAGACTTCAATTTTTGTTGGTTGTGCATTTTGCACGAACACTGGATATCTGAAAAAGAGTGAGGAGAACAACAGTGTCTGAAAAAACTATGCTTTGAAATAATTCTTGCACTACTTTAACATTTTATTTTGGAAATAGTTAGATCTTACAGGATTTTCATAGCATTTCTTTAAGTGTGGTCCCCAGATCAGCTGTGTCGTCATCAACAGTTGGTGGTGTTGGGCACCACCTGAGCCCTACTTTACATTAGATTTGAGAAAAACCAGACTTCTGGTGGGCCGCTCTGCCACTGGCCAATTATGTCACCTTGCACAAATCACTTCCCCTCATTGGACCTCCGTTTTACTCTAACAATAAGGAAGTTAAATTGGATGAATTAAGGTTCCTCCCAACCCTGAAACAGAGTTCGAATACAAGCATGTGTCCTTAAACAGGTGTCACTCATTCACTAATAGGGTGTAATAATACCTGCCTAAATATGCCAGCTAGCTGTAAACAGCAATTTGGTTTGCATGTGTCCGAGGTTTCATTGCTTTGAAGCTGGGACTCTCGTGTCTGTATCCTTTTCCTCCTGGCTGTGTAGAATCCATTGGCAAGCACCAATTGTAAAAATAGAAATAGACTTTTTCACTGGTGTTCCTCGAGAGCCCATATACTCTGCAAAGGGACTATTTTGATATTTTTTATGTCACATTAAATATAAATTGGATAATTTTTTGACTTTGGAACTAAAATATTTATAGTTTTCTAGACTGGACATTTTATTGTATAGTGACTTTCAGTTTTACTGAAGACAATTTAGTGTGTTTGTTGTCAGCGCTTAGGTTAGGTTGTAATTTTGTCAGGAAGAAATTAGATACCAAACGAAAGATAATCTTTGAATTTTTAGTAATGTGCTACTCAGCACTCAGTCTTTTTATCTGGTTATAAAAGCCCGGTCTACAAAATGAGATTCAATACATTTCCTTATGATAGTATTATCATCTGTTAAATATCCAATAAAGGAGCAGTTTTTTAGAAATAATAGTAATGTTTTACTGACAGTTAACCCTGCTGTGTCCAAACAAAAGAAATACATGTAAGAACATAAGAACACTACCAATGTGTAGTATTAGTGAACAGTAAGTTTCTGAAAGGAGGAATCTAACTTTTAATTGTAGGTTTCTAAGTCATGTGATTTAGTTGTGTTTCATAAAAACAAGAACCTTGACTATATTTTTCACCTCTGAAAACCTTAGTATGTAGCACACAGTAGATGCTCAATAATTTAAAAAAATTTTCTCTATGAGCCGAATTACAGGGAATGTAATGAAGAGTGTCTTTCACAAACTATTTTGCAAGAAAAAGTTGAGAAACAACTGAAGTTGCAATTTTCCCTTTCAAGAGCTATTGAAAATTTTGTATCTTAGTTTAAGTTATGATTTTTAAAACGAAGATATTCCTTTCACTAAGTGTAGACCAGATTATGCCTAGGTAGTTTGTATGTACATTGCTTCAAAAATAACTGACATATGGGAGTGCTTAGTAAATATTTGTTAATTAATAAAGGGAAATGCATCAGTGAAACTTCTTTGTTGTCTATGGTGTGGCTGAAATGGTCAGAAAGTAGTGAGTGACTTCCCTCACAATTTCAAAAAAAATCACAGGGGAGACAAAATAAGAAAGCCTATAAAAATGGACTTTGACAAATACCATATGATCTCACCTTTAAGTGGAACCTAATCAACAAAACAAACAAGCAAGAAAAATATAACCAGAGACATTGAAATTAAGAACAATCTGACAGTAACCAGAGGGGAGGTGGGAGGGGATAATGGGGGAAAAGGGAGAAGGGTTTTCAGGAACAACTATAAAGGACACATGGACAAAACCAAGGGGAGTGGGATCAGGGGAGGTTAGGTGGGGATGGCTAGGGTGGGGGGGAGTAGTGGGGAGAAAATGGAGACAATTGTACTTGAACAACAATTTAAAAAAAGAAAAAAAATGGACTTTGCAAAGACAGAAAAAAATTGATCAAAGCTTCCTCTTCCCAGTGGAGTGCACGCTCTCTCTCTCTCTCTCTCTCTCTCTCTCTCTCTCTCTCACACACACACACACACACACACACACACACAAACCCCTTTCCTTTGAAATCCAAGAGGCCACAGGATGAGTCGGGACTGAGTTGAGGACTCTGTCAGCAAAGACACAAAGTGGCTGACTCTTTCCTTCAGCCTCCACCTACTGTGTTTGGGGGAGAAAACACTTTAAAGCTTTCCCATAGGGGCTCTGCAGCCATTGGCACCACCCAGAAGTAAAGAATTAGCCTGGAAAAACATTACTTGCAAAGGGTAACTGTCAGCCTAGGAAGTTTTTTGAGCTCCTCCGATGCCCAAACACTCCTGGTGGCTGCCAGCCTTGAGGCTGTGTGTGGAACTCGATGAGCTCCCCTTCCTTGGCCAAGCCAAAATAATGTAATATCTGAATAGACAAGGAGAAAATGTTTCCCAAACACTTCATTCCCAGAATGCCATCGGGAAAGCTGGGGAGACAATAGGCTCCCTGCAGAGCCCCTTTTGAGGGGGTGGATCTATTTTTCAGTGCAGAGGGTAGTCTGGGATTACAAAATAGAGGTTTTATGACCATGATGTGGCTCCTAAAAGAGCAATCCAGAGGCTGGAGATGAGAGAGAATGGGCCAGACTATCCTCACCTCCCACTTCAGAATTTCTCAGCATGGAGGACAGCACCAAACCTCCCTACCCCCACCCCAGGGGTACTACTGGCAGGGAAGAGGCTGGTAAAGTCCCAAAGCCTCTCCTTTTATAGAGCAAAACTCAGGAGAGGTAAAGAATCCAGAGGAGTTGATACACAGACAAGGAGAGACAACTCTGACCCTCACTCACTGCAGACTTGGAATGAATTTTGACTGGATGAAGACAGAATGGACGAGTGCAACATTTTATTCCCTTGGTGATAAAATCCAGTGTTTATAAAGATGAAAGCCAGGTACCCTATTTTTGTTAGTGGTGCATTCCCACGTGACACTATTTGAGATGGATGATGTAGCATCTTTCAATAGCACTGTTCTGATAATCTTGACTTAAATGCTGGTTTTCCACCAAGCTGAACCTCCTTGGAGAGAGACTCTTAATCTCCCAAGTCTCAAATTCCTATCTGTAAAATGTGGAAGTGTCATGCCTACCTCATAAAATTGTCACAAAGAGCAATTAATATCTTGTGTGTATAGAAACCTCTCAATAATTTGTAGTCATATCTAACAATTTAGGATGAATATATGAAAAGAGAGCTGACTGTGTGAGAGAACATGTTTGCCAATGATACATCAGACAAGGACTTGATCTCCAAAATATATAAACAACTCATACAACTCAATACCAGGAAGACAAACAGTCCAATTGAAAAATGGGCAAAGGATCTGAATACACATTTCTCCAAGGAGGACATAAAGATGGCCCATAGGCATATGAAAAGATGCTGAATATCATTAGCCATCAGAGAGATGCAAATTAAAACCACAATGAGATAGTATCGCACACCAGTCAGAATGGCCATAATTAATAAATTTACAAACAAGTGTTGGCAAGGGTATGGAGAAAAGGAAACCTCAGTGCACTGTTGGTGGGAATACAGACTGGTGCTGCCACTGTGGAAAACAATATGGAATTTACTCAGAAAACTAAAAAAATGGAACCACATTTTGATCCAGTGATTCCACTGCTGGGAATATACCCTAAGAATACTGAATCACCAGTTCAAAAGAACTTATGCACCCCTATGTTTGTAGTAGTGCTTTTTACAATAGCCAAGTGGTGAAAACAGCTTAAGTGCTCGTCAGTATATGAGTGGGTGAAAAAACTGTGGTACATTTACACAATGGAATACTATGCAGCAGAAAGAAAGAAGGAGTGCCTATCTTTCATGACAGCATGGATGGAGCTGGAGAATATTGTGCTGAGTGGAATAAAGCAGTCTGTGGAAGGCAAATACCATATGATCTCACCTATAAGAGGAATATAATGAACAAAGTAAACTAATGAACAAAATAGAACCATAGGCATGGAAACATAGAACAGACTGACAGTGACCAAAGTGGAGGGGAGGATGGATAAGAGTGGAAAGAAGGGGAAGTGACTAGTTAAAGGGTATTTATGAATGACCCATGAACATGCACAACAGTGTGGGAGTGGGGAGTGGGATGAGCAGGGGAAGGCAAAGGGGGAAAATTGGGACAAATATAATAGAGTAATAATTAAAAAATGATTAAAAAGCTTTTTAAAAGATGAGTATTAATCTGTTATAAATCACTAATGAGCTCCCATAAGAATTTGTTATTATTATTATTATTGTGATCATTTTGGTCCAGCAACATGATCCTAGTTGATCCCTCTTTCCAAAGAGATGGACAGCTGTGTGGCCATCCTACATAAAGACACTCTGGTTTCCATTTGAGAAAAGAGTGGCTAAAGCAGAATGGGAATCTTTCAACACAGTCCAAATATATATACACACAAACTAATGTCATAAGTGCTAAAATAATGACATGTTTCTACATGAAGCTAAAACTGTATCTTGAAAAAGATAATTTTGGGAACTGAAATTTCCTTTTTAGAGTTAAAGGCAATAGATCTTCACTTCTCTATTCCCTTTTCTGACATTCACACCACTTTGCAGTTTTTTTCCTTCTAGAGCCGCAGCATTACCAGTTTTAAATTCTAAACTACAGAGTCAGAACCCTGCTGCTAATGACATTTCTTTCAATTGGGAATATCATGACCGTGATTTGAACATCATCATCATTCCCAGACATGTTATTTGACTGAGGAGTCAACACAAGAAAACATGGCATCCCTTCCCTGCCCAAGTTTAAGGTCGCCTTGGGAAGT